AAGGAGGGGGCTTTGTAGAAAACGAAGCGTTTGAGAGAGACGGGGCATAGAGGACCTACAATAATGTACAGTATTTGAAAAATAATGTATTTTTTGAACATTAAAGCATGTCAACATGTTCTGTTACACCAAATACACAAAATAATGATCTTTAAAAAAGCATCATATGACCCCTTTAATGATTACAAAGGGTGTTACATCTGAATATTTTCACACACTTACAGATTTGATGGATTTCTTTCCCAAATTGTATTGACTGCTCTACAATGTGAGACACCGATGTTTCAGGAGACAGATAGGACTGTGTCTTATTTAGGTAACAGAATAGGACATCTGCTTATTCCATAACTGTTTTATTTCCTATTTGGTTCATGTATATGCTTTTTTTGTTTTTTTTTAAGATTAACTGTTCCCCCCAAAGCACTGTTAGATGTTTCCTGTCGCTATGCAAAGATTTGATTTCCTAAACAGCATCATAGCTATTAAACTATATCTTGTTATGATTCTAAATCTGTATTTAACCTCAGAACGATCTCAAAGTAAAAGGAGCTGCTAAAGTTTGATTCTGTGGCGGCTGTGCTTTAATTCAAGTGATGAAGGATTCTGAAAGTCTGACAGTAATCAGTGTTGAGCGCTTCTGTAAGGTTAACCCGGCCTGCTTTAAATGTGTGAAAATGATTATCAGTTGAAAACATCCGTTAGAAATTCAGAAAAGTAATCAAATGTAATGATAATTTAATAAAGTAACTGAAATAATTACACTACTTATTACATTTTAAATAGGGTAACTTGTAATCTGTAACCTATTACATTTCCAAAGTAACCTTCCCAATTACAAGTAAGCTTAAATTAGATGCAAAAGAAATAAACTTAAATTATTTACACTTGAAAAGTCGATGAATAGGCTATTCAAAGTTGAGTAGCCTATGCATGTAGTAAATGGAAATTTAAAAAATATATATTATAAAACATAAAAATTTGAAAACATTAAAACATAAATATAAATAAATATAGATCCTAAATGTATACTAATGCAATTTGCATCGTAATTTGGAACTTATCCTACTGGGCAGAATCATCTGAGAATCAGCAGGACTCTAATAAATAGAAAAAGGAAAGACATATTTAAGTCTAGCAGCTGAAGGACACACGTAGCTCTGCTGGGGTTCTGACTCATATCTCCTTCACATCATAATGAATAACGTCTCACTGATTCTAATCAGCGGTCAGTCCCATCTGACTGAAGTCTGGGATTGCCCTCTCGAGCTAATTAAACATCATTAAACACTATTATGGACAACATCCAGCCCTGTGATACCAATCAATTCCCCCGGCTCTACAAACAGACATAAGCAGCTTTTGGAGACAGAGCCACATGAGACGTAATTTGTTTAACAGCCCACTGATTGTAAAATAACAGAGAATCCCCAGAAAGGCTGCATTGTGCCATTCAGTGAAATTTTCGTATTATTTATAAACTGTTATAGTAATTATTAATATTTATATGTTCAGAATTCATGTCATTTTTTAAATATTTTAATGTAGCTATTTTTTATTTATTTCAGTTTTAGTTTGAATAATTTTAGTACTTCTTATTTTAATGACATTTTTTAAGTATATGTTGTTCATCTAATATTGATGTTTTGTTTTGTTTAAGATTTATTTTAATTAACTAAAATTATTAATAGTTTTAACAATAAAAACACTGATGTTAAAAAAAATATATGTAGTGCTATAGAAAAAAAATAAATTCAGCAAACATTCTCTAATATATGTCTATATCTGTATCTGTGCTTTACTGCAGCGAAGTAAAGAAATCGTATGGTTGTAGATAAAAACTCTGCATTTTCACTATAAACGTCAATCCAAATGGTTGCTAAGTGCTGGCAAGTCCTTGCATCTACTTCACCAACAGCCGTATAAAGAGAGTTTGTCTCAAAAAACCATGCAATCAAACTGCAAAGACTTATGGATGTGTTTACAGGAGCTGAACTGGAAAATT